GTAATTTGGTTGTGTGCTTAAGGTTAGAAGCGTTCGAAATGTGGAAAGAATACGAGAACAAAGGACTCTATGGAAGTCAATAAAAAATAGGCGAGATAGGTTGGTAGGACACCTTCTCAGGCATGAAGGTCTAGTCAGAGACATATTAGAGGCAGANAAGAGTGGAGGTGCGTGTCCAACCAGTCTTAGGACTGACAACCTTATGATGACGATGATGATGGTTGTGTGCTTAATATAAGTTTCAATTGAGTTCTCTTTTACATTTTATCGAATTCAAGCCCAGGACTGATTTCAGATGATTCCAAGACTGGTAGAATTTGGAACGGCACATCTTCCTCTTAATTTTTTTTTCTCCTAAACTAACAGTACCATTTGTCTGTTTGGTTTGATTGTGAGTTTTAGAAACGACTGTCGAAGTTTATTTTAAGAAGAGGAAAGAGTCAGAGTGCCCGCTCACTGTATATTTGTGGTTATTCTGTACATAACGTGAATTCATAGAATTGGTGCTACAACACGACCGTGAATACATACAAACGATCCACTTATTCACTTACACTTTTCATGGTCGCCCGCGAAAACGAAGGAAGTTGTAAAATGTCGACAGTTTACGTGGCTCAAATTGAAATTATTCCGAATATGAGTCAGGCCGAAGAAGACTATTTACATTGGGTTTTATGTAAGAGTTGAAATTTATGCGTTTGGATTTGTGCCAGCACTTGAAGAATATTTAAAAAAAATCTCATATTTTCAGAACATGTTTACGATTTCAAAATGTAACAACAATGTTCACTTTATTATAATCTGTTTGATTCTAAAAATAAGCGAATCCACTTAGAAACATTACAATACCGTTGCTTATTAAAAAATTTGACTCGGTGAAAGAAACTTAAAAGGTTTGTAGTTACAGCAATTTTAGCTAACAAACCACGGGAATGCATTATTTGGTAATCACAGTCAACCTCTTAAATGTTTTTCATTGTGAATTGCACCAAGAGCTTTTTATAAATTATTATTAGTAGATACCCTCCCTCAGCTTGAGTAGCATGGAAATCTGGTTGCTATGTTCTATTAACCAGAGCGAAAAAAGATACAGACACACATTTGAATCTTTTTACAAAAATAATTTAAATTTACAAAATATTATCTTACATTGGTCCATGTCTAACGACACAAAAACCTCCCCGAATAATGCTTTACTTTATCAATTTTCCCACTTTTTATATTCTATCATCACAAGGTCGCCAGTCGTAATACTGGTTGGACACGCACCTTCTGAGCTAATCTTCGCATTTCCTTAAAAGCAGAACATTCCATATCCTTCACTATTTGTAATCTATCGTAGGTCTACCTCTACTCCTCTTAGCTCCTGTTTCTGTTTCTAATATGTCCCTAACTAATCCTTCATGTCTACTAAGACCGGTTGGACACGTACGTCCACTCTTTCCTGTCCTGAACTAATTAACCCATTTCCCTAAAGCTAGAACATCCCACATCCTCAACTATTGAGAACATTAATCTAGTCTAAATCTACCTCTACTCCTCTTAACTCCTGTTGCTGCCTCTAGTATGTCTCTGACATAGACCTTCATGCCTGTAAGGTGTTCTACCAACCTCGCCTATTTTTTATTGACTTCCATAGAGTCTTCTGTTCTCCACGGCATCCTTATCATTCGCCGGTAGCACCACATTTCGAACGCTTCTAAGTTTTTCTTTTCCGCCGCCTTCACCGTCCACGATTCGCACCCGTACAACGCCGCGCTTCAGATAACAATTTTTTTTTAATTTTTAAATGAACCGCTCGCGAGCATTTAATGTGACCATGCTCTATCCTCTGTTTTAGATATCTACTGTTCCTTCTATCTGACTTCCTAAGTACTGAAAATCAGCCACGTTTCCCAATTTTTCCTCTCCCATCTTTATATTCTCCCTTTCCGTACATTTTCTTCCCTTACAATCCAGTATTTTTGTCTTTTTTATCTTAATAGCTTAAAAATTCATTCAATAAGGTTACATTTCGCAATTTTACTGAATAAAGATTTATTCAATTAAATAGAACGGATCTGATTTTGAGCTGTAATGATTTCAAACGATGGAACCAGTACCAACGAAATAGTAAATTATAAAGTTATTAATGATTTTTTTCTTGGTCAATCTTCAGTTGTCAACTCTGACACAATAATGTACGTAATATGTACTACCTATATGAAATGTATAAATTCTGTAACGCTCTTATATCTTCATGATTAACATTATCTAAAGCGAATTCCAAACTGCGAGTTATTAGTTTTAATGTAAATTCCATGGCACAGATAAAGAGTTTCGTAAGCATGTGAAAACAGCAATAAAACATGACCTTAGCTTTTGGTTATTTATCTTCGCCTTATTTCTATTCTCAATCGTTTTATAAATAAATTATCATACAAGTGAGTCATGTTAATTTGCATTATCTCAGTTAGACGCATGATATTTATTACGAAGACACGTGAAATTGCTAATAAAATGCAGATTTCATAGGATAGCGAATAATGAATGAAAATGTAACCAACATTCAAAAGACACTCCCGTCATTGTCATACAATTGTTCTCATGTATGATGTCTTGATGTACCTATGTATATATGTAAACCTAAGTTCATATGCAAAAAGACATCGTAATCATGACAATTAGTCTACGTTGACTATTTATTAAATGTGCAATAAAACAATAGTGACTCAACTGAAAACAGACTATGGAATGCGTTTCAGTAATCTACCAAANATCATTCGCCGGTAGCACCACATTTCGAACGCTTCTAACTTTTTCTTTTCCGCCGCCTTCACCGTCCAAGATTCGCACCCGTACAACGCCGCGCTTCAGATAACAATTTTTTTTGAATTTTTAAATGAACCGCTCGCGAGCATTTAATGTGACCATGCTCTATCCTCTGTTTTAGATATCTACTGTTCCTTCTATCTGACTTCCTAAGTACTGAAAATCAGCCACGTTTCCCAATTTTTCCTCTCCCATCTTTATATTCTCCCTTTCCGTACATTTTCTTCCCTTACAATCCAGTATTTTTGTCTTTTTTATCTTAATAGCTTAAAAATTCATTCAATAAGGTTACATTTCGCAATTTTACTGAATAAAGATTTATTCAATTAAATAGAACGGATCTGATTTTGAGCTGTAATGATTTCAAACGATGGAACCAGTACCAACGAAATAGTAAATTATAAAGTTATTAATGATTTTTTTCTTGGTCGATCTTCAGTTGTCAACTCTGACACAATAATGTACGTAATATGTACTATATGAAATGTATAAACTCTGTAACGCTCTTATATCTTCATGATTAACATTATCTAAAGCGAATTCCAAACTGCGAGTTTTTAGTTTTAATGTAAATTCCATGGCACAGATAAGGAGTTTCGTAAGCATGTGAAAACAGCAATAAAACACGACCTTAGCTTTTGGTTATTTATCTTCGCCTTATTTCTATTCTCAATCGTTTTATAAATAAATTATCATACAAGTGAGTCATGTTAATTTGCATTATCTCAGTTAGACGCATGATATTTATTACGAAGACACGTGAAATTGCTAATAAAATGCAGATTTCATAGGATAACGAATAATGAATGAAAATGTAACCAACATTCAAAAGACACTCCCGTCATTGTCATACAATTGTTCTCATGTATGATGTCTTGATGTACCTATGTATATATGTAAACCTAAGTTCATATGCAAAAAGACATCGTAATCATGACAATTAGTCTACGTTGACTATTTATTAAATGTGCAATAAAACAATAGTGACTCAACTGAAAACAGACTATGGAATGCGTTTCAGTAATCTACCAAAAACTGAATCATTCTGTTTAACCTATATAAATAGAAATCACACAAATTATTATTCATAATATATATCTTATGCTTGCCTGTTACCAATTCACGCCATTTTACTCCTTAACTGCTCAATCGATCATCATGAAATGTTGTATGCACGTACAGAATAGGTACATAAAAGAACATAGAGTACCTTTTCTCCAGAAAAAAGTACCTACTGTTCCCGCGGGATATAAAAATTTTGGGGTAAATGTCTAGATGATGGGGGTAGGGGTGGGTGGGATCGAAAGAGGGGGTCTCCCCTACCACTGTACCATAAAAATTTCGTGGCGGTCTCACCCCCATATAAAGTTATAGGGGTTAGATGGGGGTGGGGGTAGGGGAGATCGAAAGAGGGTGGTCACTTGAACAAAACCCGATAACCTAACCTAACCTAACCTAACCTACCCTATTGATAATGATATTGAAATAATGTTTTATATAACTTTCTCAATATTTTTATGTATTTTTCATTAGTTTTGGCTTTGAATATTGTTTACGAATGACTATATAAATATTTACATGCCTAGAAATGTATAAAAATTGGCATATTTATTAATTTTGAACTCCCATAACTTTTTATAGGGGTGAGACCGCCACGAACTTTTTATAATACAGTGGTGGGGGAGACCTCCTCTTTCGATCCACCCCACCCACCCTGAAGGGGTTGGGGGGCCATCATCTAGACCTTTACCACAATTTGTTCTGTGGTCATATTTAAGACATCAATACGAGCAAAGCCACGGAGAAAACCTATCATGCAATACTGTACACATTGTCGGGGGTAAAAATACTGCTCCTAAGGGATAAAAAATTAGTTTTATGTGATCGTCAATGATTTTTGACACATATTTAGGACATCAACACGAACGAAGCCGCGGGTAAACGCTAGTATTAGATAAAAATGAATATTGAGTTCCCCCAGCATATAGTCTGTATGTCGCCATCTAGTGACATTGATTGTTAACTGAAGTATTTCAAATTTAGTCAACGACGTATTATTAAATTGTGGCGTATTTTGAGGATCGTCAAACACGATAATTTGATAATCCTAACTGTTTTTATTATTTGAATTTTGAATTTTTAATATTAGTAGTATTAATAAAATATTTTTTTAAATTTTAGGTGCCTACCTTTAATCTAATAATGAAATTCAAGAGATTCAGGTTTGCTGTCGTTTGTTGTCGGCTTTCGTCCTCGATTCTTATCCGGGATATTTCCAGCGTCACTGTTTATTATGTCCTATCTGCATCGTACGAGACCTAAATCTGTAAATAAAAAAAGAAATGTTAGCAGAGGAATTGTTGAGATAAAAACATAAGATGTTGAAAAGACCAGCTTTAATCTAGTTAATCAACATAAAGTTGAACAAAAGACATTTCTCGGAAACTATTTTAGGAATGTTTGTATGTACCAAACATACGTATGTAGAACATCGTCTAAAACTTTATGGTCATCAATCAATTAAAAAAGAGTGCATTCAAAAAGGTTCTATCTCGTTTGCGGAAACCGCTATTTATGCTCGTAATAAAAGATGAAAGATATGCTCCAATATTCCAGAAATATCCTTTTTATCATACCCAGACACGTATACAATACACATACAGTGAATGACAAAAGTATCGAGCGAAATTCTTAAATAAAAAATACAGTGAGCCTTTCGGGAAAGCCCCAGAGACTATAACGATTTTTAATTATAAATAGGTATAAAGATTTTCGACTTGAAAATCCTTGCAGTCAAATAATAACAGCTTAAGTAACAGTAAAAATACTAGAATGTTTTGGAGTATGGTAGAACTTTTTACCTACTAAGTACTTGAAAGATACCTAATTAGGCAAAAACCCTAGCGTATCTCCGAATTGAAGAGTTCTACACGTTTCTAGAAAATTATGGAATATTGGAGCTGGAAACATTCATTTAAACGTTCTGGAGCCATTGGGAATAACCGAGGAAAGCCTGAAGAAGCTCTAGATTAATCCACAATAATACATTCACTATTTATATTCTTGATTATTTCCGAAATACTTGGTAGGTTGCTTTTGTTGTGACGGTATTGTCTTAACTATATTTTAATCCCGAATATCAGTAAAAACGTTAAAAAAACTTCTTAAGTCTTATTATTCGGGGAAGAGGGGAGTTCACAATTTTCTGTTAAAAAAACAATAATTATGATAATATAGGGGGTGGACATTCAAAATTAACAAAATTTTGCTTATGTCATACTTGAACGCTTCCTTTGTTGCACGATTAATCATCATCTCTGTTACAATTTCAGCTCAAAGACTGGTTGGACACGAATCTCCTCTTCTTCCTGTCTTGGGTCAATTTAATCTAATTCCATCTGTGCTATCCTTAACTCCCGTTTCTGCTTCTAATGCATCTCTAATTAGCCCTTCATTATTGAGAAGGTGTTCTATAGTTGGGACGATCGAAATTGGCAAAGTATATATAAATTATTTGTGAGAATGGACGTATCTTCCTTCTTATTTCCAGTTGGGACTGTAGTCATTTGCTGCGTTTCGAACACGCCCTTGTTAAGTTAGGGAATACTTCATGAGTACTACAGATAATGTGAAAAGAGATAACCGAATAATAGTAAGCGGTACAGCGGTTAGAGGTTGGTTAGGTACGCAAAAGGTCAGGGTCGGCTTTATAACTGTCTGGTTGGAGTTATATCTTTAAACAAGCATCTTTACTTTCCTAAATTCTTGAGAATGTTAAACTTAAGTCCGATGCTGGTAACATGTTCAAATTCTACTAACCTGCATCTGTTTCTGTTACACAATAACTGGTTTAATGCTATTCCCTTTTCTTTATTAGTGTCCGCTGCAATTCCTACCTGACATCTCTTTTCTATGTTTACGATATTTCCTGCAACGCCTGTTCTGAGTAAAAGTAAGCGTTCTATCAGCAATCTTTCTAGTCTAGTTAGTAAATTTAAAGAAAAAAGAAAATGTGACAGTTTTATTGTGGACTATGTCAATTTTGAACGATCCAAGTATACCAACCTATCCCAATCCTTATTTTTTATTGACTTCCATAACACCATCTGTTCTCTGTCTTCCTAATTACCTCCACATATCTAACCTTTTCTATCCACGGCATTTTTAACATCTTCCTGTAGCCGTACTTAAACTATTCTGACTTTCTTTTTCACAGCTAACACCGTCCCTGATTCACATCCATACAGAGCCATGATCTAAACGTATACACTTTTAATAATCTCATTGAATTTCTAAGTAAATAAGTGAAATAAAAGTGGATTCAATTTTTGTTTTGTTTTAATTAATTTTCATACCATACACAATATGATCCAACATTTTTGCCGCTCACTGTACACATAAGCACATATCTACTACCACTAATCCACTCCTTTTCTACTTTTTGTGATCGTTGTGGGTGTTGCCGGGTATCTACAACTTTTATGTGGACGAGCCGGAATATTTCCCTCTGATGTAATGAGTTTCCGTTCAAAGTTCGCGTTTGAAGTTCGACTATAAACATTCGGCCATTGTGCCATATTTCATATTCATCGTTCTAATCGAGCTTTTTTATTCTTTTATTAGAAACAACTCAACTATAGGCGATACGCGGGATGATAATAGCGTGTGGTGCAAATGCGTTTGATGTTTTGTTTCAGGGAAAACCAATCACAAATAATAGTACGTGATGTTTTTAGTAGACTGTGTGTAGAACTAATACCTACAAATTCATATACGGGGTGTTGCTCCAGTTATACCAAAAATTTACCTTTACTCTACTATAAAAAGTTCGTAGCGCTCTCACCTCTATAAAAAGTAATGGGGATTAGATGGGGGGATCGAAAGAGGGTGGTCACTTGAGTAAAACCCTATAAAAAATATGCGGCGGTCTCACCCCCATAAAAAATTATTTTGACAATTTTCATACACTACAATTCAAATAAGATTCAATAAAAAAAATATTTTCAAGCGGGTGGAGGTGGGGGATCGAAAGAGGGTGGCCACTTGAACAAAACCCTAACCTAGTTTTACCTTTGAATATTGTTTAAGAATTCTATAGGGTGGTGTTAAGCTACAATGTTTTCAAATATCTAGGACTGTTCTGAGATAAATTTTGTAGAGTAAACATGGAAGAATCGAGAACGTTCTGGAATGTTCGAGAACCATTATGAATAAATGACGGCGATAGTTTCTCGTACTATATTACAGCATTTTATGTACATTTCGACGAAAGTGTTCGAAAAACCATTTGGGATTTCGTGTAATTATCAAGATTTATTTAACATTACATACTACAACGGAAGAGGACATGTAGGGCTAGTCAGAGATATGCTCTGCATAAACCACATGACTTTAGTTTAGTCCCCTTGTGACCCCCCCCTCCATCCCCATCTTTGTTGTATTTTTGGTCCTTATCCCATAGAACAGCGTGATCATTTTAATACCAAAACTATTTGAGCAAATAGTTACAGTAAATATCGCGATTAACCATTATTGACAGGAAATACGTCACCTTCAAGCCGACTATTACATGTAGATAGTAGATATTAATATTTATTTAAACAAATTAGGACATTGATCAATTTTTACATTCTCTTCCTGAACTCACCCCCCTCATATGGTTCAGAAAAAACTTTTACCAAACTCCTTCCCCTTTATAGATTATATACACAGCCCCCTATTACATTGTACAGTGGAATTCGTTTATTATGACTCCGCTTATATTGACCAACCGCTTAATATGAATTGCAGTTTTTTTCATATTAAATTCTCTATAGGAAAGTCTGGATATAATAACATATCGTTTATTATGACTGATTTTCAAGAAATCATATCCGGCTATAATGACCCAAATGATTAATATTAATAACATTTTCGCTTATTTCTCTGACCCTTCTTATGTATATTGATATCACAATTCATCGTTCTTTTTTTTCTGTTAATAAATATATACAATTTGTAGTTTTTCTCTCTATTAAACTAAATAACTAACCAAAATAGAAAGTTATTTATTTTCTAAGACTATGCTTTGTATGACGCCCGCTTAGTGTGACGTGTTTGTCATTTCCCTTCGATGTCGTTATAAGCGGATTCTACTGTATGAGTACTTTTTCCTGAGATAGTGTCATCTTTTACCAAAAATTAAACTTCTAATTTGTGTGTTATGCACCTATAGGTACATATGTACTTGTATTTTAAGGAAAGCAAACTTTTTCTAGATTTTCTATCGATCTATCAGCTTGTCTTATTACATTTCTTTTGTGTATAATAATAGAATTATTGATCAGTGCACGTTGTCGAGACAGACATGCACGTCGCTATAAAAAAGTATTGCCAATATTTGTGTACGGTCCTAAAATAAATCCAGACGGCGCTATAAATTCTACTTTCAAAATCGTTTAAGTTCAACGCCAATGACCGGATGCGACTCATGTCGAGAATTTTACGCTGATTTTGCAACCGGCAAAATCTATAAATGCGTCGCTAAGCAAAAAAAAATTGAAATACGTTTCGGGTATGTATAGTTGCAATTTTATACAAAATAGAAAAATTACTTTGGGGAATAAACATAAAGAAAACCAAACTGATTTTCGTATAATCCTATTGGTACATAAGATATCAATAATGTTTTATCGTAAATAAATGTCAAGGAATGTTAAGGGTTGGTGTAAATTCCGTCCGAAATACTCTAGCGACTTGCTTTAGGTACTGTTCGTTTCAAGAAGTTGGAGATATGCCCCTTGCCTTTATTAGGATGCGCCGGAGCATAATTCCAAATTCAATCATATTTGTCTTCGTAGCTCATTTCTCCACCGATCATCGAGCGAGAACTAGACGAAAGTGTACAGTACCATTTGCAAAATTATTTAAACTGCCTCGTTAAAATTTAAAAATATGCTTTATTTAAAAGAATATTTAGCCAAAAATAATAACAAGTGAATTAACTTAACGCTCTACACACCTATAAAACTTTTGGTTTGTTTTCTATTGTTAATTTATATACATTTTTGTTTTAATAAATTGCTAAACATTTTCGTTTAGTACTGTACAGTTCTAGCCGATCTCCCAAGACCGCCCATCGAGAGCTCTGCTCGTTCGAGCTTGTTCCAACTATTTCTGTCTTGCTCACGCCTAGTTGTATTCTTTCTATCTTCGCGCAGATTTCTCCAAGGTCACAATTCTAACAAATTGAAATAGACTGTATCTATACTTTGTACGTTCTGTCCGAAGGATTTTTATTCCTGTAGGATTATCTCGTAGGACGCATCGAATGTGTGACCGGTAA